TTCTCACTCTGTGATGCCTGTGAGGAGTTCATTTGAGTTCACCTTGTGACTCGAGGTAGGCTTGCAAGCTCCCTGAGAGCGCATCTCCCGATGCCGGCACCAGCACTCCGAGAGCATTAAGCGGCACGGGAGAGGCGAGGAACGTGTTTTTTGAAGCCGAGGGTACTTTGCCTTAGAGGTTGCAGAGGCCTGAGCGTGGGTGGAAGCGGGGAGGTCAGCCTGTCCTTTCCATGTGCCTAAATACCAGCACTCTCCTGGCGAGGGAGGAACCATAGGCGGCTACGACACTAATAGCACCCACATTGTGAGGGGGTGTGAAGTGTGGCTACGCAGGGCGCGAGGGCCTGGTGCGTTTGTCTTCTGGCCCTGTAGCAGCAGCAAACTGCATCTGATTTCACTGCCCTCTGCTCCCCAGGGGAGCAGGGAGCTGCAGGCGGTTTTCTCTTTTTCCATTCCTTGTGCTCCCAGTGAAGGAGACTGCCGAGACTGGAGGAGGGTTTACTTCAGTTTGTGCAAAGGAGGTGGTGTGAGCTCTCTTTTGTGACCAGCATTCAAAGATCACTCAGGATGGTGTGATCTATAAAATAAATTTTAAAAAAGTTTGTTCCAAGTTAAAATACATCTTGTTGCTTTTTTGTCCACCTAGGAAACTAGTTTTTGCTTTAACGCCGAAAGCCAGGCCAAGCAGATTTGCCTGGCACCGTGCTCCTTTGCTGGCTATGAGAGGAGGCTGCGCTCATAGTGATGGCAGGGGATGATGTGCCATGCTGCAGGGGAGCTGCTGCTCAGCCTCTTTTCCTCTGCCTAAGATGTAGTGCTTCTCAGTAGCAGAGTGGTGAAGTGAGAATGTTCGCATGGTGTGAGCTATGCTGTGTGAGAGGTGTGTGTGAAGAGCTGCTGCAGCAGATCATTTGGGTCCAACTCCATGGGAGATGCTTTGCTAGAGGGTGCAGTTTTAGCACAGCACTTCCAGTGCCTGCATAAGCTTGTGCTTTCCCAGGCCCTCGCAGCGATTTGTCCCTCGCCTCTTTCTGTAAATATAGGGGGGGCTCTCTAGGGCTTGGAATGGGCCTTTCCCTGCTCCTTGGTTGATCCCAGAGCTTCACAAAGGATTTTCCTGCCCTGCACAGCCCCTTCCAACTCAGGTAAGTGTTGGGCTGGGAGCTGGTGGCAGCAGGAGCAAAGGCCCACCCAGCCCCTCTACTCCTGGTCGGTCAGGTACTATGGACACCCAATACCCATCCCTTCCCATTTGGTGTCCGTATCAGTTTTTCTGATTCCACCTCCCCCCCCATTTTTCCATGTCCCTCCTGCAGCTGGTACACTGATGTACCCAGCATCCATCCCCCCTGCCCAGGGGAAAAAAAACCAGCCCATCCTGGTTAAGCAGACACCGATGTGACTCTCCCTGAGCTCAAGCCAGTCCAATTTCCATTTTTACAGCCTCTTCTTTATGCTCTGTTAACTTGCTCATGCTGGGAACAATTAAGTATTTCCTTTCTCCTTGCTCTTAGCTGCCTGCTGAGTAACTTACAGCCTCTGTTAAGGGAAGAGCAACACACAGCTACCCTTAGTTGTGGTCTGTGTCAGGCAGAGCCTCATCTGCCACTCCTCAGGGCCAAGCTGGACTCTGCTCATGGCCATAAGAGAGGACAGACTGATGGCCAGGGACAGCTTCAGTGTCACTGCAGGATGGACAGCCATGGTTTATCGCAGACCTGGGCTGCTGGAAGTCATCAAAGATGCAGTGTTTTGGTCTTGCATATCCCAAGATATTCAAGTTTCTAACAGTAGGTCTTGTTTCCATCATTGCTGCAAGCACCTGCTGCATCCCAGAGCCTGCTTGATGACAAAGGGAAAGGGGCTGACCCTACACTTAGTATGTCAGGCTGGAAAAGAAGGATTTGCCATGAGAAAGCAGCAGCTCTGGTTACCTCCTAGCTGTGCAGCATTCCCACCGGCAAAACGCCCAAAAAGCTCACGGCAGTTTTGATATAATTTATTTGTCTTGGTCTTCTTTTTTTTTTCTTGCATAGGCATAAATTACAATCTGTTGATTAAAAAATGAACAAAACAGTGCAGCATTTGCAACAGGCTACAGCATCAAATACAAACTTGTCTCCTGCCTGTAACCATCTGTTTCTGCAGGGCTAATTCAGAGCACGTGTGTAGGGCAAACCGAGGAGGGAGAAACAGAGGAGGGAAATGGAGTCAATACGGGAAATCTGCTCCGACAGCTGTTTCGCATTTCTCCTGCTTCACCAGGCTCATCTTCTGCATCAGCACTAGGATTAAATACCCCCCAGGCAGCGATGCACTGTGCTGAAGCAGCAGTTTTATGCGCCCTGTTTTCCTTGCAGCTCAAGAAAGCGCATGGTGAGGCATCTAAAACCAGCATGATCTGCTAGAGAGAACATAAACCCCCCCAAACAGCACAGCCTTTCATCTCCAAAGGACAGGGCAGGCTTACCCTCTAAAGCCAAATCCTCCCTTCCCCATAGTAAGTGGTCAACACCCCCAAAGAGGGAGCAGAGACCCCACTCTGACTCCCTTCATGCTTCATTTACCAAGAGATCATCCATCTCCTGGCCAGGGAGCCAGAAGAGAGGTAAGAAAATGGGTTTTTCAGCCTCACGGTTATGGCATTTGCTCCAGCAAACCCTGGGGAAGGGGGAGAGCTTCATCTCTGCTCTCTTTTATCAATCAATTAAATATGGGAGCTGCTCTGCCAAGCCCAGCACAGGCCTAAGCATTCAAAAAAGCACAACTCTGTGCACGCAGGGCCCTCACAGACATGACTCCGAGGCAAGCGGGCAGCTGTAGACAAGTTTAAAATAACTTTGGCTGCAGATGCCAAGAATTAGGACTATGCTCAATATAGGAGAGAATTTATCATCACGGGATCTGGCTACCGGTCTGTTTTCTCCCAGCAGCAGGGCCTCCCAGCTCTGCAAGGGCTCCATGGGGTAGTTTTGACCTGGAAATGGGATTGAGCCCTTTGGGCTCGCTTCCCCTGTTTGGAGCAAGGTGACCCCTCTAGAAGGGATGTGCCACCATCAGCCCCCTTGGGCTGCATGGGGGCCTCAGCACCTCTGCCTGATACACAGCAGAGCAGGCTGAAGGGAGAAACCCCTTCAGACCCTTCCCCTCCTCTATGCCCATCACCCTACAGTGCTTCAAGCAGAGAAAACCAGAGCAGGACTCAATTCAAGTTGCTCCCCCAGTGCCAGGGAAAGATGATGCCAGCATCAGACAGGGCCGAAACACTAAACATGAGCCCTTTAGCTTTTCTTTCAACAAAACACAAGACAAATGTGGAGGCTTTAAACGCCATCCAAGAACATGAGCCAAACGAAGCGTGCTCCAGGCAGCCAGGAGGTGCAGGGGCCAGATGGCCCTGCCGCTCCTCGGCCTGGGGAAGGTCCCCCTGCATCCTTCCTGCAGTCCCCTGCCACGGCTCCCCCCACCATGTGATGGGTACAGTTTTTTGGAGGACTCCCCATCCTGCTCCAGCCCCATCCTCTGCAGCCAGGGCTGGGGGAGCCAAGCAATGCCAGCAAGGCGGAGGCAGGAGGGAAAGGGAATCCTTCCAAAAGAAAGGAGGTCGGCCCGTGCCAGCCATCTGCCATTGGGGAACAGCAGAGAGGCCCTCCTGCTGCCCCAAGGCGAAGCAGCAACCCCTGGTGAAGGAGGGTCTCTCTTCTGCCCCCTCTCCCACCCAAGGCACGCAGAGAGCCACGCAAAGCACTGAGGCAGCAGCTTCTGAACTCTGCCAACAGTCGCTTATGTACAGATACAGCCATGGGTAAGCACCCCGGCCGTACGCTGCAGTCTCAGAGGACATCTCAGGATCAAGGGGAGCAGGAATACCTCCGGCACCCCACCAAGCAGCAGTCCACGGGGGACCTTGTCTCCCAGGTCCAGCTACCAAGCCACCAACAACGTGAGGCCTGTGTCTTAAACAGCTCTGCTCATCTTATTCTAGCTTACTCTACTGTCAGCGCTATTCTCCTACAACACAAAGCTCGGCATCTAAGCCACTCGCCCAAGCGACACCACGTAACAGTCTCTGGTTAAGTAAAAATCACATGGGGGGGGAAATTTTAAAAAAAAAAAATAATCTTTTTTTTCCTTTGTTACTACAAAAATACCTCCAACACCCCAACTAGAAAATAACCCCCCTTCCCGCCCCCTTAAAAAAAAAAGAAAGGAAACAGAACAAACCCAGAAAAGGAAGCAGGCAACAGGAGTTTTCAATAGCACTGTCAAGCTTAACGCCAGGGGGGTGGTGGCATCACCGAGACCCAGCACAGCCACCAGCAGCAGGAGGGCTTGACCGGACGGATGGTGGCACCAGGGCAGGCTCCGCCACCAACGTGTACCAAATTTCTCCCCCTACTACTACTCCAAACTGTTAGTTTTGTGTTAATACTTCATTAATACTGTCTTATTTCCCCTTTACCAGCCCAGCATCAGAGGGCTGGAGATCTTTACCTAAACCAACGCCAAGGCAGGAGAAATGACCCTGCGTGGAGGGGAGAAACGCAGTGGCCGTGACCGGTGGCTCCTCACCAAGCTGGTCACGGCGGTACCATACACCGTATTGCGCCCAAGCCTGCGTGAAGCGCATCGCAAAATTACGCACCCCTTTCCCAAGCCCCAGGAATGCTAGGCGCGCCATCTGAAAGCAACGGGTCAACGGGGACGAGGGGCTGCGCAGACCCGATTAAAAATTAGCTTAAAAAGTTAAAACGTCCGATACACGCTGAAAACAAGCCCGGCTGCGCTAGGACCCACGCGGGATGCTCTTGCCTTGCCTTCCCGGTCCTTGGAAAAGTGAAAACCTCACCCCCTTAAACACCAGCTCTCCCCTGAGGGGGGCGGCTCCCTGGGGCGGCTGCTGGCGCATCCTCCAATTTCTACGTGCGAAGCGGCAAACCAGACGCATCCCCTCCTGCTGTCAGCCCGGCAGCATCCTCATCCCACGCCGGAGCCGGGGGTCAGTGCGCCGGCTCCCCGTGCACCCGGAAGCGGTAGATGCAGGTGTATTCAGGGTGGCCCCAATTGCTCAGCACCCGGAGCTCCACCAGCTGGTACGTGGCCATGGCATCATCCTTGGCGGAGAGGGGGAAGGAAAAACCTGAGCCCTTGAGAGCTCAAGGGCTCAGAGACCCCCAGGGGCCCCATTTTCTTCTCAAATAGGGTCTCTGAGGGCAAAGCACTTACCTCCAAGGAAAACGTTTGGATGGGGTCACCATCGTGGCTGTAGGTGAACTGCCCCAAAAGGTGGCCCTCCTCTTCTCTCTCCTCCTTCAAGCCCTACGGGGGGGCAGGGAGGCAGAAAGGGAGAACCAGGGGTGATCAGAGAGGGGGAGCGGAGGCGATGAGCATACCCAGGGACGGAGACGGAGATGCAAGCGCACACTTGGCCCCCGCTCCTGCTCTTCCAGGCCAAAATGGACAAATGGGGACAGGGGCCAGTAGGGAGGGATGGGGGGGGGAAGACCGAGAATTACATCTACTCAATCCCCTCTCTCTCAGTGTCCCCCAGAACCCTTCCTGAAGCCCTGTGTCCCTCTCTGCCCTAATATTGCTTCTTCCTGCCCTTCAGGACAAGGCTACCACCCCAGAGCAACTTTGGGGCTCGCTAGCCCTCCCTTCCCACACCCTCTGCCATGGCACCCTCCCACTGTGTCCCACTGGCTGCTCCCTCGGGTCCAGGTGAGGGCACTCACATAGACAGCGAAGTCCTTGGGGGCGCTGGGAATGGTCCCCTGGGGCGAGAGGGCTTTTGGGATGTGCTCCAGCGTCACGGCTGTGGGGCGGATGAGGCTGGAGAGGCGGATGACGGCAAAGCCCTGGGACCCACGAAACGCCCAGCAGTTCCCAGGGTTGACATCTGGCTACGAGTGCAGGAGCAAAAGAACAGCAGGGTCACCACCACTGGTGCTTCTTTCTCTTCAGCATCAGCCCAGCCACTAGCTTGGAGCAGCAGCAAGAGCCAAATAAAACCCACCCAACCCATGCAAGAACCCAGCCCGTCCCATCCCCCCCCTTAGTGGGGTCTCACTCATTGATGCCCACCTGCAGGATGACACGAGGGGACTGCGAGTGGTACCACAGGGGGATCCCAAACAGGCTCAGCAGTGCCGTCCGTGTCTCATAGGTCTCCGAGCAGCGCGTGTTGATGACGCTGGCCCCTGGGGCAGAGGGGGGATGGCAGCAGGTAAGCCCCGTGACACCCCTCCCCAGGATGGCCACCTTGTCCCAGGGGGAAGAGAGGTCCCCACCACCTACCTGCTGACTCCAGGGCATAGTCCACCATCCCCACACGGTCCTCGCTGTAGTGCTTCAGAGCTTGACCCACGATGAGGTGCACTTGCTGCAGCAGAACCAAGCACAGGGGTGAAGGGCCAGCATCCACATCCTGCACGCCCACCACCCGCCTCCACCCTGCAGGGACGGAGAGGGCACAGGGACCTTCCCACAGAACAGCCGGGGGATGAATCACCCCGGCAAAAATGCGAGGACAGGCGTTTGGCTGGCCAGGTTGCTAAAAATACACTTGATAAGCAGCGCTGTGCAATGATGGAGCAGCATCCAGGGCTTGCCCATCCCCATCCCAAAGCTGGCCCCAGGGGAGGAGGGGTATCCCCCAGCAGGTACCAGACACAACCCGACAGCTCACCCATCATCTGCTTGTCCCCCCTGCCCCATCCTGCAGAACCGATGGAAGCTTCCCCCCCTCCAGAAAAAGGGGAGGCATCTGGAGCATCTCTCTGTAGCCAAACCCAGCCCCAGCAGCCGGGACACTGCAACACCGCTCTGGGTCTAAATTTTACAGCACCCACCAAGCCTGCGCAGGCCGCAGGGACTGCTAATCCTGGCCTGATCCCTCCCTCCCTGCGCTACCAGAGACTCTTTCCAAAGCAAGCAGGCTCATTTTTTTCCCATGGTGTCACTCTGCTGTAGCACTTTGCCCCATATGACTCCAGAGGGCTGCTGAAGGACGGGGGGAAACAAGGTGATTGGCCTGTGGAAACCCTGTGGGCACCCACTCTGCCTTCTGGGGGAAAGATGCACAAGCCAAAACGTGGATTTTAAGGTCTTGTCCCCTGCCACCCCTTCCAGGGCAGTTTGCAGGTGTCTTGGTGGTAGACAAGGGATGGAGGAGTTTCGAGGATGCTCTTGCCAGGTGGGATGCGAGCCCAGAATCGGTGTCCCAGCTACGGGGGCTGTCCTCATGGCTCTGCCATCGGCCAGACAACTTGTGCCCTCCACCCCATGCCTGTGGCCACCACCGTGTCCCTGGGGCTCAGGTCAGATCTCACCTCTTCTGTCACCCCCGCGGTCCCTCCTTGCCGCAAGGCCACTCCGATGCCAGCCTGAGCATCCCTTCCCGACAGCCTGCGGTCCTCCAGGACTTTGGCCAGAATCTTGCGCTCCAGGGCCTGGAGCTCCTCTTGCAGATCTTCCCGCTGGAGGATGAGGCTGGCAGCGCCATCCCGCTGGGGCTGCGACAGGAAACGGCTGACCCACGCCGGGAACTGCGCTTCCACCTGCGACAGTGGGGACAGAGCTCAGCCCCCCTGGCAGGGGCCCCTCGTTCCTCCCTCTGCCGAAAAGTGGGGGGACTGGGGGACTCACATCAGCCCGCACCGCCTTCAGCTGCTCCAGCATCCCCTCCACGTGCTTCCCCATCACCTCCTGGTCCGACTTGAGGCCCGCCAGCTCCCTCCTCAGCATTGCCACCTCCTGCTCCAGCTTGCCCACCTCCTGTTGGAAGCTCCCCCGCAGGCCCTCCTGCACCGAGCTGTGCCAAGAGAAAGGAGACAAAACCTCACGCCAACAGTCCTGGCTCAAGCAAACCAGACCTTCCAGGTCCTAAGGCCTTTCCTTCCACCCAAGCTTCACTGTGGGGATTTCATTACCTCTGCCATGCTGTGTTCAGCTCTAGCAAGCGTGCCTCCATCTCCTGCCAGGAAAAGGAGAAGGGGAAGGGGTGAGACCTGCAAGGCGGGTGGCGAGGTCCTGCCCAGGTTACCACCGTACGCTCGTCCCTTACCTGAGAGGCTCGTGCCATCTTCCCCAGGCGCCCATCTAAATCCCTCTGCACCTGGGCTCGGATGGTATCCAGCTCACCCTGCGGGATGAGGAACAGGGAGGGAAACATCAGAACCCAGCCCCAAATGCCCCTATCTCCCCACACACCCCCCATGTTCCTCACCTGGAGGTGGCTGGTCATGTCGGTGCGGAGATGCTCCTTCAGCCCCGCTTCTTGGCGGCTCACCAGCCCCTCCAGCAGCGTCAGGACATCCCCGGGGGGTGGCCCTCCCCCCGCCGTTACTGCTGCTGTCCCCCGCTGCAGCTCCCATCGTGACAAATCGGCCTCCAGGGCCTCAAAGCGCTTCTCCAGGGCCTGGAAGCGATGCCCCCCCCCGCAGCCCCTGCCATGGGCAAAGACAAGGCATGATGCATCCCCTCAGGGAGGTGCAGACCCCCGGGGGTGCCGTCTGCTCCACAGGGACTCCTGTGAAAGGGCACATTACCCCCCCCAGAGTCAGTGACATCTTATTCATCCGCTGCTTGCCAAGAGAGGGCAGATGTTCCCAATGCTCCATCCCTGGGACACCCCGAGATGGCCACAAGCTGGGGGAGCCACTTCCACTAGTGTGAAGCCATCATCTGCCCCATCCTCCACCACTTTCCCATCCCCTGGAAGGGCTCCTTCAGCCATCGACCACACTGTCCTGGCTCTTCTCCCTGCAAGGCACCCACCCCACCTGGACCACTACCAGGCCTTTGTCAAGGCTCACCTGGTCCAGCGCGGTCAGGTCCCCGGCCCCAGCTGCATCGGAGGAGGAGAGCTTCCCAGCTCCCCACCACGGGAAGGCAGGGAGGCTGAGTGTTGACAGCCCGTATGGGTAGAAGTACCACGCTCCTGGGCATGCAGGAGGATAAGATGGTCAAGAAATTAGGACAGTAATGGGCCATAGCAGGGGACAGGGTGGAGATACAGAGGCTCAGCCATCAGCATCACCTGGGGTTGCCAGGAGGCCCCAGAAAAGGGGTGCAGATGTACCAGGGTACCAGGAGCCACGGTCACCGAGTCTGTGGGCATCCTGTCCTATCCCATCCCATCCCTTGGGTACAGCAGCAGGATGCCCTGCACTGCCCTAGATGAAGCCAGGCCCACTTACCATAGGCAGCCACAGCCAGGAGCAGGAGGAGCGGAGAGGGAGGAGCCGCAGCAGCAGCAGGGACCTCTTCAGCCACGGGTAGCGCCTGCAGCGAGGAGCACAAAGAGGCGTCTGTAGGGCAGCAGCTGCCTCCCCTCAATGCAGCACTCCTCTGGATGAGGGCCAGAGGGGAAGCAAAGCCCAGCCAGGCTTCGGCACAAGATGTCCCACCACCATGCTCACCTGGAGAAGGGGACGCCCTCCAGGCAGGGATCTGTGCTGGTGAGGTGGTGCCAGGCAGCTGCCAGCCCCGAAAGCAACCATCCCACGAACCGAGCTGTTGTGAGAGAAATGGAGCCTCAGGTGGGGTCCTGGCAGGGATTTCCCCTCCAACCTCAAGGATGCTCCCACAGGTGGATAAAACTTCTCCATCCCACTAGGGAACAGCACACACAGCACACGGCAAGGGGAGACACTGGCAGGGATGAAAGGTGCTGCTGGAACCTCTCCCAGTAGACCCTCACTCACCTGGGGAGGTGAACACCTGCCAGAGGAAGGAGCCCACCCGGGAGGCTGCGGTCCTCAGCCCCGACCCGGAGCTACTCTGGCCTGAGTAGAAGTGACCTGGAAAGGATGAAGGGAGACAGGAAGTCACCAAAGGGAGCTGGCATCCCTCAGTGTGGGATGGCTTTGTGTGGGGGGTAGGATGCAGGAGGGGGACTGGCAGCATTCCCCCCCACCCCTCTGCCACCGCAGAGGGGCTGGTGCATCCCTACCAGCATAGTCGTCCTCCGAGGAGTACCCAGACGAGGAGGCGTAGGTATCGTAGGTCTTGCTCTCCAGCAGCCCGTTGATCTTGCTGGACTCAGTGTCCCCTGTGCCTCTTCTCCTCCTGGTGGAGAACTCCCCGCCTGCCCCCCAAAACAGAGACCCCCTGAGAAACCACCCACTCCCACAGGAGGCAACCCACTTGGCCAGCCTGGGGGCTGCCCCCACATGCCCCTGGTGCCCAGGAAGGCCGACTCCCCCTGTGCCCAGGGAGGCCCCCCCGCCGCCACTGGAGGGCTCACCCCAGTAGGTGCTGCTGTCCAGGTCATCGTCCAGCATGGAGTTGCCCAGGGCGGCGAGGCCCCGGCTGCCCCCCAGGTAGGACTCGCTCACCACGGACTCGCTGTAGTAGGAGGTCTGGGTGCTGGGGGCAGGAGAGAGGCGCTTCGTGCTGCTCGATTTCCTCCTCATCGTCCTGCTGGGGCCAAGAACGGGCTCCTCAAACACACGTGGTTATGGGGTGTGCAGGGGCACAGTGCATCCATGGGGGAAAAATGGGGAATGCACCCCAATTCCTCGGCTGGCATCACCACTCTCCACCCCCTCACCGTACCGGATGGCTGCAAGTTTCGGAAGGTGCAACCACCACTTTGCGAAAGGCCCTCCCGCCTGTCCCCGGGGCCGCTGCCTGCACCGCTTCCGCTCACATCGCTGCGGTTTTCCGGCTCGGCACTTGCAGCACACCTCCTTCCCACCAGCGAGTCGGAGGTGGCCGGGGCTGGGAGGTGGCAAGCAGCCACCCATGGCCACACACGGCAGCCTCCTGTACTGGGGCAAGGGGGGCACATAGGT